GAATGATTACTTCATAATTGTGTTTATTACTATAGGGTTAATACATGAATTTGCCTTGTATACCTGATAACTTCTGAATGACTTTGAATAACTGTGGTGGATTGCTGAATAAAATACCAAATTGAACAATGAACTGTTAAATGACTGGGAGACGAATCAAGTCTCTGAAACAAGCTAAATGGGAAGGAAACTACATATGAAAATGGGAAACAGTGTGAACCTAAGACATCTGATCTACATTTTATATATATATATGGTAACTCAAGTTTAGAGGACCAAACTTTTTAAGGTGAGGAGACTGTAACAACCATGATCCGTAATTAATTACTAATCCGTAATTAAGGATGTTAATTAAGTGGTTAAAATAAATTATGTGTTTATTATGTATTTTGTATGTTATTTGGCTTTTTATCTGTTACTTATAGAAATATCTGTTTAAAATTCTGCTTTGATCTAAAAATTGAAAGTCTTATTGGCCTCTAAAACAAAAATTAGTTACATCAATATGTTATTCGAACTTTTTGGAATCATATGGAAAATTTTATTAAAAACTAATTCAGTTTAATTAATTAAGTTGTGTTTGGTGGGCGAAATGTTTTAATTATTGTATTAAGCCATTACAACTATATAAACATGAGCCTTAAGCTCACTAGAGCTCATCTTTGCCCATTGTTAAGTGAAAAAATCTGAGATTGTATTCTAGAGAGAGAGTGAGTTTACTTTTAGAAAGAGAAAGTGTAGGAATTAGAGAGAAATTGAAGGCTTTGGCTTGAATTCTTCAAGATTGTGCAGGTATCTAGCTAATTAAAGACTCTAGGTAAGAATTCAATTTCTAAATTGTGAATCTAAGTCATCTAGCATGAGATTTCATCAAGATTATAAGTTTAAATGCATAAAATAAGCTTAGAATGAAGGAAATGGTGCTAAGTCATACATGCATGTATGAAATTGTCAAGAACTCTCATGTTTGAACATCATTCATGCCATTAGAGATGAAATTAAAAGCTAGAAGTCACATGCATGCATAATTTATAAAGGTTTGAGGCTCAATCGCATGTGTTTAAAGTGGAATGAAAGAATTTGAATGAATTTGAGACATACATGCATGGAAATATGAAGTTTGGCCATGTTGAGTTTGGTTTTGAGCATCTAAATTGTTATTGTAAGTTATTTGGCACATGCATGTTTGAATCATCTTGTTTTACCATTTAAATTCATGTTTTGAAAAGGAATTTCTTACATGCAAGAACTTTGGAGCTCAATTTTGGAAAAGTTAAGAGGTTTTGAGCAAATGATTTGTGAATCATCTTGTAATTGAGTTTTCTAAAATGTTTTTATGATTATCAAAATGTTTTCATGAGTTTGGAATGACCATGCAAGTTTCTACAAGTTATAATACATTTTTGAAGCCCAAACTTTGTGTTTTAAAACCTAGAAAATTCACAGCTGGCTCGAGCGGTCAAGTGGTGGCTTAAGCCAACATTGCGAGCTCTTAGTATTTTGAACTCTACAAAAGCTGGCTCGAGCGACAAAGTGGTGGCTCAAGCAAGCTCAGTTTTTTCCTTCAGCTGGCTTTAGTGACGAAAAGCTGACTCTAGCCAATAGCTTATTTTTAGCATGTTTTCAAAAGATGTTTTAAGTACATATCTTCGCTCCCATCTCTTTCTAGGCATTCTTAGGTATGATTTATGAGCCATTAAGGATTAATAAGCTAAGAAACATCATATGTAAGTGAATTAGAAAATATGTGTCGAATCCGATTATGTGGTTCAATATGAACAAGTTATGTGACATGGAATGAATAAGAAGTTAAAGTAAGAAAGCTAAGTCATGTATGGCCATATGAATGAGTAATAATGAGACGTATTTTGTGCTATGTACATTTGTGTTTGTAGGTCAAGACTCGAGACTGACCAACCGTTTCTGGAAGCCCACTATGAGTAACGTTATTGTAAAGATATGTTCATATGAATTATGTTCCAAATGTGATTTGGTAAGTTATGATTTCTGAAATGATATTTGTTTATGTGAACGAATATCCTATGTTTAAAATCTATTATGGCATCCATAGATAGTCCCAAGTCATGGAGGATGGCATGTTAATGTGGGTCCATGATATATATGTGATTACGAGATCTCGTTAGCCACTTGTCAAGTGGTGATGTGTTTAATCGGTATTCAGAACTAATTACTCTAGTCGGATGACGATGTGATATGTTCTATTAGATGTACCATTATTATGTTCGGATGACGATGTATATATATATGTATAGGTAAGCGTTTTGGAGATCCAACCTAAAGACTTTTGTCTAGATCTGCGTTCTTTTGTTAGCCAACCATTGTGCCTCACGTGGAGGTTCCTGAAGTGTCACGTGTTTTAAGATCCGATTGTTTCTATATATAAGACTTTGTTTAGTTTTGTTGGCTGTACTTAAGATGCTTTAGTTAAGTGTGTGGGTATAACGTGAGAATGATTTTTGGGATATGTATATAAAGTTTTAAATATTTTGTTTCATATAAGTTAACACAGCTCATTGGACGATTATATTTTTGTCTTTGCTTCCGCTAGCCCCTTAATTTTGTTTAATCTGTTTAGAGGCCTTCGGTAATCTCAGGCTTACTGGCCGGTAACGATGCTAAACCTATAGGGACGGGTTTGGGTTGTGACATTAAACTAATAACTTCAGATAGATCACCCACTCCAGATCAAATCCAAGACATCAAGTAACTCACCAGTGAGGAATTTGATCAATTGAGTGCTAGAATGTATTTCTTTAGGCATTCTATCATTCAATGTTTTTGCGAGAAAATCCATGAATTTGATGATATTAAGCCTTATATATACACCCTAGCCGAGGATAGCAGAAATGATGAGCTAATTACTATACAACAGTTTCTCTAGGACCTTTCTATAGCATATCAATGGACTTATCTCTATAATGATGAAGAACAACCATGTATACAAGAAAGACGATGTAGAGAAAGGACAGAATGTTTTACAAGATGTCAATGTAATCTCGACTTCAGCATCTGCCTTTACTAGATATATCTAGCCACTTTTGAGCCCCTAGAGATAGCAATTAAAGGCAAAATTGGTCGTTTAACAACAACACAACTGTTAGATTATGGTTTTGTCTCTAGAATAATTTTTTCAGAACCAGATTAGACAGATAATTTTGGAAATAACCTTGTTTATTCAGTACTTTGTATAATGGAATAGCATCATCCATTTGTTGAAGTATTAATTAATAGCAAGCTACCAGAATGGAAAGGAATAAGGTGTATTCCTGCCAAGCATAAAATGTATCTCAGAGGAACTTCAACATTTCCAGGATACCCAGGACTTCTCAACTAAAGGCCTTAGTTATGCAAAAACGTTTCACTCAAAGACCAGCTTAATAAATAGAGGAAATTTGCTAATAATCCTTTATTAGCTTATAATGGAAACTATGGTCATCTCATCTATGAAGATAAAAACCAAAAGATCTACTGTAACCTGGCCATTCTAGGTTTCCCCTTCAGCAAAGAAACCTTTGTCGATGAAAGTCAGTAACTGGACTATCAGCATAGCGTCTCTCATGAGTCACCAATACTTGAAGATGATGAACAATGGGAAGATGAACCAAACAATGGGGCAGACTTTTATGATCAACTTTGAGCAGATCTTGATGGCCTTTCAGATAGAATGTTTGGGTAAACCTAGCTCAAAAAAAAAAAAAAAAACACTTCGTATGCAACTCTGATGAATGGGCGATTGTGCTAAGGGCATATGCCGTGGGTGTATGCACGGTACGTTTGAAGAAACTGACGCTACGATGGCTAATAAACATGTCGCCTTGTAGATTGAGTATGAAATTAAGTCCCAAGATGAAAGGATGGTTTTGCCAAGCATCCCTAATCCAAACTTAGGGCAAAGAAAACCATCCGACATGTTGAGCTTGTGAGCCTATATGACGAAAACTAAGTTGTGCTCCATTAATGCAATGTGTATATGTCTGTCTAGTGCTATCTGCTATACTAACCAAAGCTGGGGTAACTAAAGGTGAACTCCATCCTAGTGGAACTATATATTGTTTAATGTAGGATTTATTAGCTCATGTATCCATCATGGCATTTATACTAAGAGTTTTTTCTGCAAATTTGATTATATAAGAAATCTTAACTAAATTTAGTTTAAGTATGACCGGGTAATTGAATGATAATTAAGGTGTGTCAGACTGTGCTTGCGAATACTAACTAAAGAGTTGAGAATCAACTAAGTTGACTAATTCTAACGAATGCATATGTTCTTCAACAAGTTTATCTTTTAAAGGGCATTTATTTTGAAATTGTTCTAACGACTGTTTAAGCTATTTATTTTTTGAAGTTAAGAATTCGATGTCAAGATTAACTTTAGTTTCCTCTCATGTATTTGTAGTTTAAGCTCTTTTCCTTGTATCTCTAATTCTCTAATTAGTAGATGTAATTCTTTATTTTCCAGACTGTGATCTTCTCGCATCTCTTCTTTATTTTCTAATGTTACTTTTTGTGTCATATTCAATTTTTCTAAACAAATTACACAATAAGTTATACTGCATAATAAACATTGAGCCCTCTTATTTTTAGCTGGGAACACTACAACAAAAAAAGATTTTTACGGCGTGCATTAGTGCAGCGCGCGTCATATTATGACCAGTCATGGGAAGTCATTCACTTTCAATGACATGCTTCGTACACTGTTAAAAACTATTTAACGACAAATTTTGTGCGTCGTTGTTACTTTTTCTACAACTACTTTTGCACGCCGTTAATTGGTGAGACAAATAACGACGCTAATTGCGCGTCATAAAATATGTAATACAATGACTTATTATGCCTACCGTAGAATATGCAGGTTTTTATTTTTATTTTTAAATTCAGCAGGTTCTATTTGACCAATTTTGTACAATCTAACAAATATTACAAACAAACATCACAAAACATCAATCAACCACCAAAATTTGTTTGAAACATAAAAAAGAAACTATATCCATAAATTATAAATATTCAATAATTATCTATACATTCCAAACATTCGAAAACTATATCATTAAGTTCTACATTGTCCCAAAAGTTTAAACCATCCAAAACTATGCATATCTAAGTTTCTAAACATATCCAAAACTATTAACAGATTATTTAAAACTACCGGCAACAATTCCTATAGCAGTTGCAGTTGCAACAAACCCACTTCCCCCAATCACAGGGACGAGGGTGCCCATCTAAGCTTGCAACTCTTACCACATTGCTTCAAACCTGCATTTATCAATACAGAAGAGATTTATGAATTAGGTCCCAGCCTTAAGTCCACTTATAACCTAGCAAAAAAAGATTTTAGAATGAAAATCAACCACCAAAAAACCTATTTATATGTTTCAAACATCTTATAAACTATTTACAGTTTATAAGATTGTTCATGGTAAGTCCAGAAAAGCATACTAGTGTTTTAACAAGATAGAAAAAATATATATATATTTCTGCTTTCAATATATATGCATCATGATACAACAACACCACCCCAAAAAAATATAAATAAATAAAAATGTGACAAAGAAGGGCTTTAATTTTGGGGCACAGTATGCATATGAATAAACTATCCACCAAATACTTGTATAGTTTTATAATAAAAGTGCAGAATGAGACATGCTTTATAAAATGTGCAGACAAAATAGGACATGTTTACAAGATTTATGACACAATGAATGTACTTTCAGACGAGATGCACAAAAAGTAGCATGACCTGGTTCAGCATCTGACGCCACACACTTGCTAATTTTCAGTAACTTGCTGGTCTAGGGTGCTTAATGGACAATAGCCTTCAGAATAAACATTCTAAACAAGATTCATCAAGATCTCCTATGCGGCTGGAGAATAAGGACCAAAAAAAGTGTCTAATCCAATTGAAAGTTTAAGCATTGGTTTAAAAACAGAGTTGTTGCGGATAGACAACACTGGCAATACACTATAAAGACACCACCAGATAGGCAACGATAGTCATAACTGTTGTTTTTCATTCTGAGTTGACTTTTTGAATGCTTCTACATATCAATAACAATTATTTTTTTTTAAGTGGCTTCAAGTACACCAAATTGTTAACATATAGTCGATAGAAGTAAATCCGTTCTAATATCATAAACAGCATAATTATGAACGTTAAAGCAACAATCATGAACTTACCCACCACTACGTCCCAAACATCTTCCCAATCTGTCAAATGCAAGGCCTAGCAGTATAAAACCAAAAGTAAGACATATTAATTCTAATGTTTCCGTGGGCTTTGAGATCAAGAAATAGGAAGAAGGAAATCAACAAACTTAAGCAAACAGAAGCCAAGCACTGCCAAAATTGGAAGAGAATAATGCTTACACAACTATAGCAACTAGACCAGTAGTAGCCCAGATCTGGACCTAAGACATAAGGGTCAGCAACAGACCAGACATTTGGGGAATTAAAAAATAAACAAATGTATATAGAAAATGTCCTATTTACGATTCGAAATAAACTGGCAATAGAACCAAACTTATGTTGAACAATTTAAGCCAAAAGGTGATTATCGTAGTAAAGTCAACTCAATAAAATCCAATAGCTCAAAACACAACTACTTGACTCTAATTAATGGAACAAAGTACACAAAACAGAGAACCAAAAATATGGCCACAATACTCATGAAAATCAATTACTGTTTCCACAGTTTGTGATGATTTTGATAGAAATCAAACAAGAAAAATCATACATAAACTAATAAAAACAAGATTCAAACTTAATTTTCACCAAAATTCCAGACGAAATTAATTCTGAAAATTCCTGAACATATATATAAACCCCATAAAAATTTAAAAATAAAAAAGTTTCTAAAATTTCATTATATTTAAGAGATGAAAATCATAAAATAGTTGGACAGAAATTGCATGCACAGTTCACAAACTCAATATCCAAGTAGTGGAATTAAAATGAGACAAGTCACATTTCTATCTTGAAAAACTTATCATTTATGTTGAATGGGTTGCACTGAATCATTTAATAAACTTTGAGACAAAACTAACCAAGCCACAAACCATGACAAAACTAACCAATCCAATGACCCTTAAATTTATATGGCTGGGATCAATGTGTCAAACCCTAACTTGATCAAGACACCTCTCTCATGGAAATGATTTCATTTGTAAGAATACCCCCAGTCAATGTCTCATTCAAGAATAATCTGAATACAAATTTGCGTAAGAAAATCTTTAAATGTAATTTCAACAACTACCCTGTGTGTGAAGTTTCCAAAAGTAACAAAACTTACAATAAAAGACAATTTTGGCTCAATAACACTAATAATATGCACATTGCTACATAAATGTTCACATACACAGCATGTCAAGTTTAGCTCAATAACACATGGAACAAGATTAGCAAAACGATGTTCAAGCTTCTATTTCACAAAAATTTAAATCTAAGAACTCAAGCAAATAGCAATTCATTTATATCCTATAAGAAAAGAGAAATTGAAAAAAAACAAAAACAAAAACAAAAAAACAAAACAAAATTTAAGGAAAAAAACAAAATTTGGGTTCAAACAATAATTGAATATAAGACCTACCAATCATAAAACCAAAAACCCATCAAAGAAAATAAAAAATTAAATCGTTGAATCGACACAAAAAGAACATGTTGATAGCTAGCTAAACTACGAAGACCCAATCCCACAGCAGCACACAATTAAACTCCACCAAGGCTCAATCCCAACATAGTAATTCCTAAAAACATAGAACACTGTTAATAAAGAACAAGATTAACATTGCATTATGTTTGGCTCAATCACATAAGGAACAAGAATAACATTAAGATGTTCAAGCTTCTGTTTTCACAATAACTTTCTCATCCCAACAATTTTAACTAAGCCCATTCCGAGAGAATTGACCAATGAACTTTTTTATTGCAATCATGAGGGAAAGAACTTAAAAGTACTATTCACATAAATTTGGTTGGATCTCTCACCTTTTGTTCAAATTCTCAACTTCTTCATCTGTAACCTGACCTCCAAACACCACCTTACTGATCCCATCCGATGGCTAACATTTTCCCTTAAAAAATTTTAAAAAAAATTTAAAAATACTGAAATCAAAGTCAATCACTGAAATCTAAAGACAATATATATATATATATATATATATATTTAAATTAAAACAAAATCGTGAAATGCTTGTTTGAAGGGAAACGAGATATACCTGGTGAGAATGAGCAGCAGAGGTGATTGAGGGGGAATAGGAGGGAGGAATTTCAGACCAGGTGAGTAGATCTATGGTGGATGTGTGAGACTTCCTCATTGTTGTATTTCTCTCTATTGTTCCTTCATTGTCAAAGAAATCAAAATGCTCAAACCGTAAAAGAAAAGAAATCAAACAGAGAATGAGAATGGCTTATTCTAGAGAGAAAATGAAATGTATGAATCATTCGAGCAAAACCCTCAAAGAATCTGAAGTAAACTATGTGGAGAAACACATTTTTTTTTTTTTTTATAAACTTCCAATTTAATTAAAGAAAAGAGAGCACGCCACATCTTTGTTAATAAGAAAGCAAAGAGACATGAGAGAGAGAGAGAGAGAGAGAGAGAGAGAGAGAGAGAGAGAGTTTGATCCTGCCGAAAGAATGAGGACAGTGTCTCTAGAATGAACCAGATCAAAGTGCCCAAAATCTGTCTTCGAACCCTCTCTCTTTTCCCTCTCTTCTCAACTTCAAACCGTCTCTAGAATGAACCAAATCGAAGTGTCTCTCTCGGCTGTGTTTGGTTGGGGATTTGCTGGGTTTGGTTAAGGTTTTTGGAGAGGGATTTGGAAAAGTAAAGGAAAAAGGTGTGTGAAATTATGTAAAATATAAGTATATTTTTTTTATATTTTACTTATCTTTTTCATTTATTTTTCTAAATCTTTTCTCAAATTCCTCAACCAAACACAGTATTAGGGTTTTGCAAGCAAGTTTTGCTTCTGCCTCTTCAAATCAACAAAGAGAATAAAATGTAAAAAAAATTTCAAAAGAGAAGTCACTTTTATCAAACCCTAAAACTAAAAAAAATTACTTTTGTCTTTGATTTAACAATTAAAAAAATTAAAAACTTGGTTGCCCCCCTCTCAGTTGATGTATATGTTCTTTTTTTAATGCATATTTCGTTTTTGGGTGAATTGGTGCCAAAAAATTTCATTTTGGCACTTTTTTTTTTGAACATACAATTCACGACATGCATTGTATGTATACAATGCTTCCAAAAATGATACAACATCATCAACATTCCAAATTCTCAAAACATAAGCAATGTTTATATTGAATCCATGTTCTTCCCAAACAACCATAACATATACAATGCTTAGACTTTTCATTAATACAATAAATTCTCAATACATGCTCATGCATCAACTAACAAATCCGGATATTTCTCTCGGACTTCTAATGTACGTTCCCATGTCGCTTCCTCGACTCCGTGATGTTCCACAATACTTTTACCAAGGGAATTGTCTTGCCTCGCAAAACTTGATCCCGTCTATCCAAGACTCTCACCGGTCTCTCCTCATATGAGGCATCCTCATCTACCTCTAAGTCGGTCCAATCCAACACGTGCAATGGATCCGGCTCATATTTCTGAAGCATACAAATATGAAACACATCATGAACCTTGGAAATCTGTGGCGGTAACGCCAAACGGGAAACAACCTCCCCAATCCATTCAAGGATCTCAAAAGGACCAATAAACCAAAGCGACAACTTCCCACTCTTCCCAAATCTCATCAAACCCCGTCTAGGTGATATTTTCAAAAAGACATGATCACCCACCTCAAATGACAAAGGTCTCTTCCTACGGTCGGCATAACTCTTCTGGTGACTCTGGGCCGTAGCTAGCCTCTTACTGATAAGTGCAACTTTCTCCATAGTTTCTCGAACCAACTCTAGATCCAACAAAGGTGCATCACCCACCTCGGCCCAACACACTGGAGATCTACATGGTCGACCATACAAGGCCTCAAACGGTGCCATGCCAATACTCGATTGGAAACTATTGTTATAGGCAAATTCCACTAAGGGTAAGTGTCTCTCCCACGACCCCTTAAAATCAAGGACACAGCCTCTAAGCATATCCTCAAGGATCTGAATGGTATGCTCGGACTGCCCGTTAGTCTAAGGATGATACGCAGTAGTAAAAGTCAATCTAGTGCCCAAGGCACTCTGCAAACTCTACCACAACCTAGCAGTGAAATGCGGATCTCTATGCGAAACGATTGCCACAGGGACCCCGTGCAACCTCACTATGTCCTTAATGTACAAGTCGGCAAGATAATCTACCGAGTCACTTACGTACATGGGAATAAAATGCACTGATTTACTCAACCGGTCAATGACCACCCAGATGGCATCATTACCCCGTTGAGTCCTCAGAAGGCCCACAACGAAGTCCATCGTAACATGCCACCACTTCCATTCGGCTATAAACAGGGTTGTAACAAACCTGCTAGCCTCTGATTCTCGGCCTTCACTTTTTGACAAGTAAGGCATTTTGATATAAACACAGCCACATCCTTTTTCATACCTCTCCACCAAAACTAGGGACTAAGGTCATGACATATCTTTGTGCCTTCTGGATGCACCTCAAGGCGCGAATAATGAAATTCTCGGAGTACTTCCTCTCGGCAAGACTCCGGTACAAACAAATGATCATAGTATCTCACACTCAGGTTGGGATATACAATCAAACCTCTTTCTACCTTCCCATTGGAAATCTTTTCTCAGAACGATTTCACCTCAAGGTCACCCTTCTGCGCTTTCAACACTCGGTTCACAAGTGTAGGTTGTGCAATTACTGAAAACAAAGCTGCGAATTCGATAGACTCACCCAGTTGCAAGTTAAACTCATTAAGAGTACCCAACATTTCCCATTCTTGGATGGCGATAGAAGCTACGCTGCTAATTGGCTTTCTACTCAAAGCATCGGCCACAACATTGGCCTTCCCGGGATGATAATGCAACTCAAAATCATAATCCTCTATGAATTCCATCTATCTCTTCTGCCTTAAATTCAAGTCCTTTTGTGTAAACAGATATTCCAGACTCTTGTGATCAGAGAACACTTCAAATTTCTCACCATACAGGTAGTGCCTCCAAATCTTCAAGGCAAATATCACTGCTGCTAACTCTAGGTCATGGGTGGGATAATTTCTCTCATGTGTTTTCAACTGCCGTGAGCCATAGGCTACCACTTTACCCTCTTGCATCAATACACATCCTAAACCTTCCCGTGAAGCATTACAATAAACTGAATAACTCAAACCCCTCTCCGGTATAATCAATACTGGAGCAGTGGTGAGTCTAATCTTGAGCTCTTGGAACGACCTTTCACAAGTCTCACTCCACACAAACTTGATTTCCTTTCTAGTCAACTTAGTCAATGGTGAAGCTAGTCTAGAGAAATCTGTCTGTAGACCGCCCCGAGAACTCTCTCAGCTCTGCGCTGCGAGGGTGCAAATTCCGTTTTGTTCTCTAGCTACTATAGTTCGGACTCAATGTCATGGTTCTGAATCTAATCTCACAAAGTGCAATGTCAGACCGATAAATCACCAAAGAGTCCAAATCTGGCAAATCGTTTTGGAAAACTGATTTTTATAAAGAAGTGCCAAACATGGACTGCTTTGCCAGATACAGAGTCGCCACCTAAATATTTTATTTTGGGGGAATTTAGGAAACCCTGACTCGTGCCTAAGGCCACATGTCCATCATCACCAAAGTTGCCTCGGCTCGGGAACTTGGGTACGAGAGGGAAAGGTCATGCAATGAGCACTCCTGCTCGCCCGATTAAAGATCGGCCTGTACTAAACATGATATTTTGTTTTTGAAAACACATGTGTTCTTATTCCGGTTATTAACCTAGAATTACTATGTGATGCGCACAGCATACAAATATAGACTAGATTGCCTAAGTTGGAACAAAACATTGTATGTTCGTTTGTGAAAATGATTTGAAGTTTGCTACTCGCAAGTAGGCTAAAACGAGAATTTTGATGAATTGTTTCAATTCAACCAATCCAACCTTCACCCACAGGCATTCAAACAGTTATATTAAATAAGCAGCTAGCCTCATGGCAAGCATACTTTCATGGTAATCAATAACACACATGCAGTATGCTAAAGCGTAAACACTCACAGTGTACTCCAAGCCAAAACAAAGAACTAGTTAGAAATCATGCATGATCCTAGTTAATATTAAGATGGCTAATGCAACACATGCAAAAATGCAACTAAAATAGGCTTGGCTATCCTAATCATGTCATGTGAAATGCAACTTGGTACATGTATTCAAATTGGAATTGAAATACAATGTAGTTAGAATGATGCGCCGAGCCCGGTGCATGCAAAATAGATGAATGGATGCATGCATACATGCGAAGCATAAGTATGCTAATTGAAATATGTCCTAAAACTAACCATCGTAAGCGGTTAAGTAAAAGGGAGAAAGAAATGAAGGTAGGAAGACATGCATCACACACACGCATGCTTATTACAACACTTGGCCCTCTCGACGGAGGGTTCGAATAAGAAGCTAACTAGTTAATCTAAGCTAATTAAACTACTTATTACATCACAAAACTAATTAACTAACAAGCTAATTAATTAAGTACAAAACTACGCTAATTAACTAACAAGTTAACTAACTAGTTATTACCCAAATTGAATAGCTAAACGCATTTAACTAATTAGGTACAGAACCAAAGCATAAACTAGTTAAGGAAAATAGTAAAGCAATGTCCTCAGAGGAAGAAGAGTATGCATGCCCAGTCGCCTCGTTCGAAAATTCGTCGCGATGCCCCAACTTGCCTCTGTTTGCAATTGTCCTCAGAACCTTGCACCAAGCTCCACAAAGCTTCAATTCCACCATGGGAACCTGTAAGAACCTGGCCGACTAGTTGTTGATGTTGCCAACCACCTGCCGACCACTTTTCTTTGCTACAGACCAGAAAAAGTGGTCTGCCAGCTGGTTCTTTTGGTCAGCCGACCAGTTTTGCTACACTTCTCCAGTTTGCTGCAACAGAGAGCAAGAAAGGGCATGTCAATGTATTTGCAAGATATGTGTGCACAACCACTCTCCCTATCATTTCATAAGCTCAAGGGAGTGTGGTTCTCGACTCTCGGGCCACTAATCACACATCTCAATGCATGATGGCCGAGAAGCCAAATTACACAATCAATATGAAATGAATGCACACATAAACACATAAAGCCTAAAACTCTATCATGATGATCACCAAGAGGGTCGGCGACCGAGAATTGAGGCACGTTTCATCACTTCAAGTATGAAACGTCCCTCGTTTCTCGTGTTTGGACTAACACCTAATCCAAACA